TGATGAGAACAATTCCAACAGGTATAATAATTCCATAATTCCAAGAGGTATGTTTGGTGCAAAAAAAAGCACATCAAAAAAGAACACTGTACCCACAGTGAAGCATGGTGGTGGAAGCATCATGAAAAGGAATTTCACCTTTCAGGATGACAATGACCCAAAGCGTACATCCAAATCAACAAAGGAATGGCTTAACCAAAAGAAGATCAATGTTTTTGAATGGCCTAGCCAGAGCCCAGACCTGAATCCAACTAAAAATCTGTGGGGTGACCTGAAGCGGGCTGTGTACAGGAAATATTTGACAGATGTAGAACGTTTTTGCAAGAAAGAGTGCGAAAATAAGTCAAGGCGTGCCATGCTCATAGACTCTTACGCAAAAACACTGAGTGCTGTAACAAAATCATAAGGTGCTTCAAAAAAGTATTACAGGATGTCCCAAAAGTCTCCATGCCTAGGGAAAATTAACACTTTTTAGCAAAATGTAACTTCATTTACAATACCTCCTCTACACGATTGCCATTTCTTTGTAAACACACAGAGAGTCATCTCTCCCAACTTTGGCTCCAAGTTTGGCAACAGTGTTGTGTGTGATGTGCTTGTCATGTTTCCTGTTAAAGTCCATCGCAACCTTCCGACAGCTTCCTAATCCAGCCGTGAGATTTCAGTACGTTCTTCTTTTGTCAAAGGCATTCTTAAAGGCATTCTTTCTGAAAAAAAAAAAGAAAACTAATTATGAAAAATTTTGGAAGACATTTTGCTAAAAAGTGTTAATTTCCCATATGTATGGAGATTTTTGGGGCATGCTGTAGTTTAGGGGTATGCAACTCGATTATTGTAAGGTTTTTTTTTTCTTTTTTTCCCTATAAAAGTTTCTGATTGTTTTTCAATTTATTTGTGTACTTTACAATTTCACATTAAAGGTGAGAAAAGATCTGACATGATTTAACATTTTAACAGGGATGTGTAACATTTTTATATCCATTGTACCATTCAGGGTATATTCTGCCTCACACTTAGTGTGGTCCTGGGACAGGCTCCAGATTCACTGCAACCCTAACCAGGATAAAGTGGTTACTGAACATGAATAAACAACCAGAAAAGGTTTTTTGCTCAGTGAAATAAGTTAGTGTTTGCAAATCTGCTTTCCTCACACTGGCTGGAGCATTTATAAAAGTGGTGCTGATTACTTCAATGAGCTTTTAATTTCACTAGAGCAACATGGAATTAAACACATGCAGAGTGAAAATGAAGACGTGAAAAACAACACAGGCTGTGCCATGTATGCTGTAGCAGGGACTGAACAAGAAGAATTGACACTGGTAGAATTTGCATTTCCCTAATTATTTTATTCACCTGGCATTATTTTGTTTGTGTTGTAGGTAACAGAGCTGAACGAAGCTTTGTCTAATGAGGAGAGAAACCTCCTTTCTGTGGCGTACAAGAACGTGGTAGGTGCGCGCCGCTCCTCCTGGAGGGTGATCTCTAGCATTGAGCAGAAGACCTCAGCTGACGGCAACGAAAAGAAGATTGAGATGGTGCGAGCCTACCGTGAGAAGATTGAGAAAGAGCTGGAGGCTGTGTGCCAAGATGTGCTCAGCCTGCTCGACAACTATCTGATCAAGAACTGCAGCGATGCACAGCATGAAAGCAAGGTGTTCTACCTGAAGATGAAGGGCGACTACTACCGCTACCTGGCAGAGGTGGCTACAGGCGAGAAGCGATCCACAGTGGTGGAGTCTTCCGAAAAGGCATACAATGAGGCGCATGAGATCAGCAAAGAACACATGCAGCCCACACACCCCATCCGCCTGGGCCTGGCACTCAACTACTCGGTTTTCTACTATGAGATCCAGAATGCACCAGAGCAGGCATGTCACCTGGCCAAGACAGCATTTGATGATGCCATCGCCGAGCTCGACACCCTCAACGAGGACTCCTACAAAGACTCCACGCTCATCATGCAGCTGCTCCGAGACAACTTGACACTGTGGACGAGCGATCAGCAGGATGACGAGGGCGGCGAGGGCAACAACTAAGTGGTAGCTCTTTCTCTGTGCAGAAAAATGATTTAAGAAATATGGCTGGTGGACTTTGGCAAGCAGCTTTCGCCATGGTTTCCTCTGCAGCGGCAGTTCTTTATTTTTCCATGAATTCAAAAAGAAAAAAAATATTGAGGGCAGTTAAAAAGGGGTGGGGGCTGAAGTCTTAGTTTGAGGATAAACAGAAATATATAATAGCTGAAAGCGCCTCCTTTGTCTCGGTTCTCCATGACGTTTGCCAAACCACTGAAAATGTCAGTCAATCAGCCAGGAAGGGGTCGTCGTTGGTTTGGAATTGCAGCCACGCACTGGCATATGGACTGATGTAGTTCAAAGAGATAAAGAGATGTTGCTCATTTATGTTTCTGGGTAGTAGAAAAGCATTTGAAAAAGAGGGCGAGCTAAAAAACAAACAAGCAAACAAAAACCACTTGAATTTACTGTCTGAAAAATAGCCTTAAATGGTTCCAGTTTTAGGCACAAAAAAGATTAACATATATAAGGCAAATTTGTGAGTTTAGCAGCTGCAGTAAAATAAACATGGCATATTTAATCAGATTACTCTAATGTTTTGACCTCCAGAATAATCACATATAGAGTAACAAAACAAAATATTATGGCCGTCATATTCCAACGTTACTGGAACCATAGGTTATTTTGAAAGGTCACATGTGATAAGAGGCAGAGACTTAAAAAAATAGAAAATAAGAAAAATATTGCAGCTTCAAAGTTTGTGGTTTACTTCTGTGTTTAATTTATTTTTGCACTTGCCAACTATACTGTTTTGTCAGTGTAAGATAATGATACTATCAATGATTCAATATTGTGCATGCTGGTGATGTATTTATACAATAGCTTGACTTTATTAACTTATACCTTGGATGTTACGTATTCCTATGATTGAGAAGTAAAACATGCTTCATATTGATTACTTCTTATTTATCTTTTTTGATTTGCTAATTTAAAAATTGTGATTGTTATGAATAAATTGATCTGTTATGGGCGTTGCTGTTGTGACATGAAATATGTTTTATTTCTTTAGCTAGACTGAAATTTGAAAAACACTATTGATCACTTAACTGTGCACGTGTTTTTCCTTACTAAACTATATCATGACATTGTTTAACAATGTTTCTGTTCTCAGCGATTTATGAGTGCTTTTTTTTGTCATGTTATGCACAATGCAACATGTATGGTTTGAGCTACAGTGGAGTATCAGAATCAGTGTTTCTGTGACACAATCAGAACATGGACCATAAATTGTATTTGGCAGTATTAATTTTTTCATTCATATATTTATTTTTGTTTCCTTTTTTAACTTTTAGCTGTCTGGGTAACACTTATCTTGAATGTGAATAATTATGTAGCAGTTGCACAAGAGCCAAAATAATGAGACATGAAAAAAAGTAAATAAATAAAGAAAAAAAGTGGTCATAGATGTATTGCCTCTATGTTGGTCATGTGTAGTGAGGGACATTGCTCTGAAGCAAGTAAAAAAAAAATCATATTATATATAATGCAACTGTTTAGATCATCTAGATAGTTGCATAATACAAACACAATCCAGTCAAATCCAATCAGAAATATGCAATCTTCTGCAGGTTAGGTTTCTTAGACTCATGTGTATTTGTACTGTACACTAAAGCAGAACTTTATCATTTAGCCAACACCACAAAACTGATACAGGGTGCATCATATTTCTTTCCATATGCTCATGGTTGGATATACCAAAATACCAAAAGCAGCTTTCTGTCTATCACTAGTTCATTTTTTGTTGAAAAAGCATGCTAGAAACCTGTACTTGAGGGAAATGGATCATACTTGGAAAAACTAAACCTGAATGCCAAACCTGTGTATAAATAATCACAATTAACATTTAGAGTTTATTTGTCTCATTCTCATTTTGGTCCTGAACATAATTTAAAATTGTAAAAAAAATTAAATGGTACCAGAAATCAATAATTAAAAAAAAAGAGAGAGTGCTCCTCTAGCTCTACCCATAACAATGTCAGTGTCTTTGTCTGTCAATATCAATCCGAACTGATCTATAACTGATCATTTATCTGACTCTGACTGTGCTGCAGAGTATACAGTCAGACAATATGACTCAACAGATGCAATCAACTAGTTAGCATTAAACACTGGTGATACACATTTGCATATGGAATGCAAAGGTTTATTTGAATGTATTATTGAGTGCTGATTACTGCTTCCATTTGCACTAATTATCAGTGCGCTTGTCATTAATATAACAATCCACAATGCAACACTGTTCACTGTAGCCTAAAATGAAATTCTGTAGCGTATTTCCACACAGTTTAGTTATTATCCCAAATCAAAGTAAGAATAATTTGCCAAGGGTGGAGCACTGAGCTGCAGCCTCATGCACTAACACACCCAGCTGTGCAGGGATGAATCTCTCTCTTTAAATTAGCCTGTACTGCCAGCCAATAGGAGACTGTCTGAGCTTCCAGGTCAGCCAATGGATAGCCTGTTGCCAGGGCTGGAGAAGCATTTCCCATTGACACTGTGTAGAAACACAGAACAACCTGCTGGCTAGTAAAAGGAGACAGAGAGAACATTAAAATCACCATCAAATGATCGATATGTGGGTTCCTGAGTATATATGTAAAATTGAGAAATAGAAGGCTCTTGATTCAATATGTCACTTACTGCATTCAAATGGCTGCATAATAAAGTAGACTATTCATCATTAAAATACCACATATTATGTGAGGTGTAATGCATCCATCCATTTTCCATACCGCTTATCCTACACAGGGTCACAGGGGAGCCTGGAGCCTATCCCAGGGAACAAGGTGGAGTGCCAAACGTCGCAAGGCACAATTGCACACACTATGGACAATTTGGAAAAGCCTACAATGCACGACTTTTGACTGGGGGAGGAAACCGGAGTACACCCCCACAGCAGAGGGAGAACATGCAAACTCTGCACACACAGGGCAGAGGCAGGATTTGAACCCCCCAATCTTTGGAGGTGCGAGGCAAATGTGCTAACCACTAAGCCACCATGCCCCCTATGAGGTGTAATAAATTTTAAATTTAATCAAGCCCACACTCCTGTCTCTGAAAAAGTAGCTTCTTCTTTATCTTGACTCAGAAGTTTACAGGAGCCTAAAGCAGACTTCTCCTTAGCACTTTTTCACAAGCCAAGTTGCTGTGAGGCTCCAGTATGCACAGGCTCATTGAAACTAGACAGTTGAAAATTGGAAACCAGACGACATTTCCAATTTTCCAATTTTCCAATTTTCAACTGTCCAGTTTTGGTGATTCTGTACCCACTATAGTCTCAGATTCCTGTTCTTGGCTGACAGGAGTGACAGCCAATGTGATCTTTTGCTATTGTGGCCCATCCGCTTCAAGTTTCAAAATATGTGTTCTGAGATGCTTTTCCACTCACCACTTGCTTTGATTGTCTTGAGATGTCTCTAGAATGTCACTGGAGTCTAGTGGAAACTCAATCGAATTGTGTAGATCTAGGCAGGGGTATAAAACAATTTCTAAAGCTTTGAATGTTCCCAGGAGCATACTGTGCTCCATCACTGTGAAATGGAATAAGTATGGAACCACCAGGATGTTTTATACTTTGGGCTGAACTCCAAGCGCTAGTTCTGTTGAAAACCAGATGCAGCTCATCAACTGGCTAATGTCATCACTACAGTGAAGCATGGTGGTGGCAGCATCATGTTATGGGGGTGCTAATCAGCAACAGAGATGGTCAGAGACAGGTCAGAATAGAGGGAAGGGTGAATGCAGTCATATACAGAGAAGTCCTTGAAGAAAACCTGCTCCAGATTGCATGCAACCACAGACTGGGGCAAAAATTCACCTTTCAGCACAACAATGACTCAAAGCATACAGCCAAGACAGTGCTGGAGTGGCTTCACAACAAGTCTCTGAATGTCCTTGAGTGGCCCAGCCCAAGTCCAGGCTTGAACCACACTGAATATCTGTGGAAAGACCTGAAGATAGCAGTTCACAGAAGATTACCATCCAATCTAATCAAGGATCTGCCGAGAAGAATGGGAGAAACTGCCCAAATCCAGGTGTGCAAAACTTGTAGAGACTTACCCAAAAAATTCGATAACAATAATTGCTGCCAAAGGTACTTCTACAAAGTACCAAATAAAGGGTCTGAATACTTATCTCAATATTTCAGTTTTTGATTTTTAATACATTTGCATATTAAAAAATCTTTTCACCTCGTCATTATGGATTACTGTATGTAGATTAATGGCAAAATGTTAATTTAATCCATTTTATCAAATTATATCTATAACAATAAAATGTTCAAAAACTGATGGGCTCTGAATACTTTCCAATCTCACTGCATAATGGACATAATACTTTATATATATATATATATATATATATATATATATATATATATATATATATATGCATTCATAGCCCTTGAGATATATTTCAGCGATTAAGGCAACCTGGGCCCCACACACCACGTGTAGTGGTGGCTCAGTGGCTTTGGGTTACTGATCAGAAGGATGGGGGTTCAAGCCAAGCTGCCACTTGAGCAAGGCTCTTAACCCTCTCTGCTCCTGGGGGCTGCAGCATGGCTGACCCTGCTCTCTAACCCCAGACTCCTACTAACAAGCCGGGATATGTGAAGAAAAAAGAAATTCACTGTCCTGTAATGTATATGTGACAAATAAAGGCTTTCTTTTTCTTCTGTGTGTGTGTGTGTGTGTGTGTGTGTTGGGTGGGGTGCAGGTGCGCTTATAACTGCGCCTGGCTTTTCACTCAGTCAGTCAGTCAGCAGGCTGCACATTCTCCACAATGAGGAGACTTTCTAAAAGGGAGGAAACTATAGATATGTAAGAAAGACATAAAATGTGTCTCAAATGGTGTACTATGCAAAATAGGACATACTATAAACTAGGTAATTCAGCATGTAGTACATCATTTTTTGCTTGTGCCATCTGAAATCGGACACATACGTTTTGGACTAAATGAAAATGAAAAGTTCCCGCATGCTGCCTCATATAACTGAACAGTGTTAAACAGCCTCCACAGGAACAACAAGAGCACTATTAAAATGCAAAATGTTTGGATTAAATTTTTAACTCCTCATTTGCTTGCACGACATAGCAGAGTCCTCACGCTATGTATCGGACTGTCACAAAATATAAACTGCAGCCCCCTCTGGTAGCTCTGCCCCTCTCCTAGCTCTGTTCCTCTCCTAGCTCTGCCCCTCGCCTAGCTCTGCCCCTCTCCTAGCTCTGTTCCTCGCCTAGCTCTGCCCCTCTCCTTGCTCTGCCCCTCTCCTAGCTCTGTTCCTCTCCTAGCTCTGCCCCTCTCCTAGCTCTGTTCCTCTCCTAGCTC